GATTGAATGAAGTAATATGTCATTTTTTACTTCCCTAACTTTGTGGAGTCAGATTCATACCCACTATATAATCAACAGAAAAAATAAAACTGACAACATCTAAATTGCACACAGTAAAATTACTCGTTGACTAAAAATTTATGAAAAAGTCAAATAAGTCTTCTTGACAAAATGTAGATCTGCAAAATTCATCCCAGGAAAAGTGAACTTCATAGAATATAGAAATAATGACCACAAAAGATAACTTACAATGGCAGAAGCTATAATTATTAAACTGTGATATGGATTTTTTAAATTGACTGATAACACAAATCATCATTATGAAATTTATACAGAAAATTATTTTTCAGATGAAGATAATTATAGCTCAATTTAAGGGAAAATGAATAAGTTGGAAATAGATTTAATAGCTGTATAGAAAAATCAAAGGTATTGAACTGACTTAATGGGATTTGTCCTGGGAAATATTTTCTCCGTGAAAAGTAATCAATATGATATAATTCCATCAAAAATTTGTATTCATGGGGCACCTGCGTGGCTCAGTCAGTTAAGCGTCTGCCTTCGGCTCAGGTCGTGATCCCGGGGTCCTGGGATCAAGTCCCACATTGGGCTCCCTGCTGGACAGGGAGCCTGCTTCTCTCTCTCCCTCTGCCATTCCTCCCCGCTCATGTGCGCTCTCTCTCTCAAATAAGTAAATAAAACCCTTTAAAAAAATAATAGATAAAATGAAGCAAGTCACAGAAGAATACTTACAGTATCGCTTCTATTTATAAAAAGTTGCAGAGATAAAAATATATATATTGTTTAGGATATGCACTTGTTTGGTAAAACTATAAAGACAAGAAAGGGAATGATTCACACAAAATTCAGGAAAGTGGTTACTTATGAGGAAGAGAGGAGAGACATTCAATCAGGCAGGGAATCACAGAGGCTTTAAAGGTACTACAAATTTCCTTTTTAAGCCAAGTAGGAAAAACATCGATCTTCAATTTGTTGCACTCCTTAAAGATGTATGTTATATGCACTTTTATACATATGGTTTAATTCACAATTTAAAAAGATACAAACAGGGTTGAGAAATCAGAATTTGGGAGCTGTAACCCAGACTCTTCCACTTACTGTGTAACCTTAAGCAAGTCATTTAAACCCTCAGAGCAGTTTTTCTTATTTTCTAGATGAGGAAGCTAACAGCTAAGACATATGTTTAGTACTTTACTGATTAAAGTTCCTCGACTACAAATATGCAAATATGTAAACATGCAAATATGCAGATAAACTGTGAGATGATAATACAAAGTAATCCCTCTTTAATAAATTATAGAACACAATACCAAAAACCCAATGATAGGACATACAAGGCTATTCCCATTCTAGTATCTTCCTATCTCATAATAATGGCAACAATATTTTTTTAATGTGTACTACGTAACCAACCCACAGTGTTAAATACTTTCCATGGATTATTTTGTTAAATCCTCAAAACAACCCTACGAAATTACTGTCTTATGCCCACTTTACAGATAAGACCATTGTGCCCAAGGTCACACAGCTAGCAGTGAATGGTGGACCCACTTCAGAATCCACACCTTTAATCACAGTAGTTATGCCTCACTTCTCACTATACTTAAATCATCTCTCTCCCGACAATGAAAACTCCTTGACAACTGTTTTTTGTTTTTTCATTCCCCCTGATATTTAGCAGGTAATAAGTAAATAAATATTGAATAGTTCATATATGTACAGTGTTTTCAGGTCATAAAGTTATTTTAGGACATGAACTGATTTGTTTCCCTTGACAGCCTTGCGAAGTATAAAAGTTTTTGTTTTTACTATTTTAACCATATTTACTTAAGTGTACAATTCAGGAGAAGTAAGTACATACACAATGTTGTGCAACCATTACCACTAAGTATGAAAGATTTTTAATGATGTTACTGAAATCACTCAGCTATCAAGTGGTGGAATGAGAAATTTGAAGTCAGGACTCTCCACCTCTAAATTCACAGGCCATTCATTACCAAGGGGCCTGTCTACCAGTACCTCCATCTGCTCTCTCCTTCTTACCAGAACATCAGAAGAATCAAACACTTTATATACATTTCCACTGTACAGGTACCCACAGCTGTGAGGGGAGAAAAAAATCCTCCAAGACATTTCTCCCAGGCAATTACTTTTCATTTTGAGCTTTCAAAAGCCAGAGCTTTAATATAAATATCTCACCTCTAGCTCAAGCCTGCAGATCCACAAAAGCAATGTCTGGACCCCAGAGTAAAGTTATGAGGAGAAATGCTTGCATTAGTTAGATTACGCTCTCACCAAATTACAGGTAAAACTGCTCAAACCTGGTCTTTATTATAATAAAGCTTCCTTATAACAAAACACTTCCAATTCCAAGGATAGGGCCAACCTTCCATCATTCTGCCCATTTTGGAACTACAAAAAAATAAAATAAAATAAGGATCCTAAATATTGGGCATTTTTATGTGCTCAACTGTCAAACCAAAGAAAATGGTTTGTTTACAAGATGAACTCTGAAGCTGGAACAAAAACAGAATCATTTGATCCTGCTGATGCCAATTTTATCCTCTTTACATCCCTCCCCACGTTTTCTCAGTCTGAGCTCTAATCAACAGCCACTTCATGTTTAACATATCATAGTTAATGCAATTAAGTGCAGAAAATTGTTTCCCTAAAGCTGTTTCCCCCAGTCACACCCCTCTCTACCTTCCAGCATCACCATTCTGCCGTAAGAATGAACATATCATGAAGCTTTAAATAAAATTGCTGATGAATAGATGGAGACATTGTTGCTGCAGTTAATGCAATATGCCTACATCAACACCAACCCCTAAAAAATAAAATAAAAATGATTCTATATGCTTTATCCACATCTGACAGAATTGTGACCACCTGAATTCCTTTAGAAGAAAATTCAATCTATAGAAATATAGTCCAATTATTTTAAATCTTATCAAGTAATGCCAAAAGAGAATCAAATGAAAAACTCCATCAATACCAAACCATTTCACCAATGAATATTTATGACATTTCCATATTTCCTGTCTTCCCTCTGTTTACATAAAGCAGTGTGCCAAGATTCATCTCAGGATTATTAGCCTGCAATACAATGATGGGCCTAATTGCCTTGCAAACCAGGACACCAATAAATGGAGTCTTCAGACAATCAATTTTAAGAGGAGAAAAAAAAAAGGCCTAAGCTCTTTCTACATACGTGCACGCTGCCTGACTAGGGAAGAAATTCAGCCTCATATTTTTCAGTTTCATTCATGGGTTCTCAAGCAAAGAATGCTCCCTTAAATACCTCAAGCTCATCAAATCTATTTAATTCCAAATTCCAGGACTAATTTTTAAATGCACCAAGGGGAGGGCAGAAAGGAGAAGGCAGAGACATCATACAGAAAGATACCTATCACGTTCCGGTTTTATCTTCTCCACCTTTAGTTCAGGAGTAGGTTTTCTCCCCCAAACTTTCTTTTTATAGTAAATGAATAGAAAACACCCTCCCCCTGCTTAATTCTACTTTAACAGAAGCCCCTCTTAACTTTACCCTTCAGGTTGATTTGCTAATGAGACTAATACAACTGAAACAAAAAGACTGAACTAACAGCTTAGGATGTCCTCTAGGAAAAAGAGTCTTTAATGTACCTTCTCTGTCCCCTGCAAAGTCCCTTCTGATTACTGTCCCTCCCCCAACCACAGCCTCCAAAGCTGTCCATTTAAATCCAACCCCTTACCCTCTTGTGTCTCTTGGAGGACATCAGAATCCTTCCTCTCTAGAATCATTCAATGCACCTCTTCCCAGCCCTGCTCCCTGCCCCACTCCATCCTCCCTGCCCCATCCATACCTACAACTCCAGGTTTCCCACTCCTTAAATAGCCTCTTTGCCACCTTATTATCAGCAACCACCTCTCCAGTCCTACCAGTTCATCTCAGACACTCCTTCTCCAAAACTCCCTCTGCCACCTCAGCCAAGGGACATTTTCTTCAAGATACCATCCCCCAACCTTGTTCACCACCTGCCACTATTCTTTCAGTGAGTCTAGCCCAGCAGCGTCTTCTGAGCCCTCTGCCTCAAGCCTGAACCCAGGGAGCCACGATGCCTTTTGCAGTTGTTCTAAAATCACACTAAATCCCATCCCCTGTGCCCCCCTCCAATTTCAATCTCTGCCTGCCCATTTTGGGCCTAACTTCTAATTTACCCCCTCCTGCCAGCTCACCATCACACTCCTCTCATTGAAAGTCCCACCCCCACCAGTTCCTATTCCAACCTCCAATAGCACTCCCCAGAAAAACCCCAAATTCTACCTCCTCTGCTCTCCTAACCCACGCTATTCCATAAGTCTCCACAAATTCCACCACCCAGAGATGGCAAACGCCCACTTCAAGCTCAGGTCTCAACCCATGCTAAGCCCCTTACTCCCAGCTCCTACCACCTCTATCATCCATCAGTCTGCCTTAGGTCCACCCCAAATTCCACCCTCGTGAATTAACACCCCTCCCCCAGGGTCCTATCCAAACCTGAAATCCCACTGTCTATTTAAATCATCCCCCTACCCTGCACCCCGGCTGGATCCCAAGCTGTCAACTGCTCCAAGCCAACCCCAAATCCATCACCCTCATTCAGTCCCCTCCCCCATTAAAAGCCATCCCACTCCACTCTCATCATCCATCTCGCCCAGAACCATCCCAAATTCCACCCCGACCTCCCAACCTCACGCTCCGGTCCCATATCGGGTCAATCGCTATTAAAAGTCCCCTTCCCTTATCGCCCCCCCAACCTGCTTGGGTCCCACCCTCACCCCACCCCCAGCCCCGCGCCAGGACAAGTCTCCCCTGCCAACCCGCCGTTCCATCGCGACCTCAACCCCCTTCCCCCAACCCGCGCGGGGTGTCCGCAGCCCCCACTCTCATTCTCCGTAAGTACCACCGGCCCAGGCTCCGGGAGAGCGGACCAGGGAAGGGGGGGGGGTCTCCTCACCGGCTGGCCGCTGCAGGCGAAGACGACGGCGGCGGCGGAGGCGGCGATGCCCTTGTCTTCTCTGGAGGCTACAGTGGCGACGCTCTCGCTCCCTCGCCGGTGTCCAGTAAGGTGGCGGATGGCGCGCAGGGAACGGGAGCCTCCTCCTCAGACTAGGCTCTGAATCCTCTGCAGTAGCCGACGAAGAGCCCGACGGGTGGGGGGAGGGGACGCTCGGCTGCGGGCGAGGGAGGAGGAGGCGGAGGGAGGGGGCGGGGGACCGCTAAGAAGGGCGGGGAAGGAGGAGCCAGCGCGGCGCCGCGACACGTCCCACAGCCTCAGCTCGCCGGAACCACAACTCCCGGCATGCCCTGCTCCGGCCCGCAGGCGTGCGCTGCGGCCGCGCGCCTTATGTCGAGGGGCCGAACCCTCCCCGGTTACGGACAGTGGAGTAAAGTCCACCATCCGCCGGCGGCTTTTGTAGACTCAGAGACCATTTGTGAGGAAAGTTAAATGCCCTCTTCTCCGAGTAGCGATGTTTGCGGCGTCTCCAACCTTTTTACACTCACACATACACCCGCCGCGGCCGTCCCCCTCCGCTGGACTACATTTCCCAGCATGCCCCACAGTCTCCCGCCCTCTTTCCGGACCCTTCTCAAACGCGGTACTACAGTTCCCAGGGGGGGTGTGGTGCCTGCGAAATGCTGGGAGATGCAGTTCTCAGTTCTTCCTCCATGTTAAGAAAAAGAAGTGAAAGAGAGGAAAAAGGGTAGGAATATGCCAACCCACTGAGGATAGGCCTAGATGGGATAGATCACCTGAGTCTGTACTCTCTTCGCCATCCCCGTTGCCACTGTCACACCAGAACTAATGCAGCAGCTTCCTCCTGGTCTCCCTGCAAATCAGAGGACGATTTGGCAACTGAAATCCAAGTGTGAAAAGAAGATCTTGACCCCGCTCCATTACTTTCAAATTTTTACCTTAAAAAGAGAATGAAACATTTTGGGAAAGATGAATGCATGAGGTGGTTATATGGGATTGTTGATTACAGGGGTAATGTAAATGTCCGTCAATAAGGGCTAGTTAAATTATATATACAAACAATACAGTAGTAAGCAGCTATTCAAAATGATGATATAGATCTATTTATTGACATGAAAAGCTATTCACAATTTATTCTCGAGGGAAACAAATTGATTACAGAACAGCATGTTTAAAATGGCATAATTTATGTGACGTTTGAGACGATATTCTATAAGCATAAAGAGATTTCAGGAAAGAGGTTCCCCAAAATATTATTAGTGATTATCTTGGAGGAAAGGGTGTCAGATTTCAAGTAATTTTTATTCTCTTATTGCCTGAATTGTTTAAAAAGAGCACATAGTTTTTTAAGTTATAAGACTATTTTCAAAAAATGTAATTTCCAAATCCAACAACCATACTTTGCTGCCTAAAAAGCTTACTACGGCTTCCTATTGCCCTCAGTGGTGCTCCAGGATGAGGCCTGTCTGGTTTTTCTGTGAGCTCAACAGTTCCACTATTAAAACGAATAATGGTGGTAACTTACAATTCATAAAAGACCATTAAATCAGTAGAAAGAATGTTCTCTATTCTCAAAATTTTCCTCCTTCTGTTCTTTCCACAGCCATTTCCTCCTTTTCTCCTCATTCTTGAAACTCAAGCCAAAGTCCTACTTTCCCTAGAACATATTTTAGGCACATTGATCTTCCTTGTATCTGAATTCTTATAGCACTGGTTTTTAATCTGTGGGCCAGATATCTCTATGGAGGCGGGGAGTGAGGAGGGAGGAACAGAGTTATTGTAAAGGGTCGGCAAAGCTCTACTTAAACAAAACATTGTCTATAGACTGAATAAGTAAGTCTTATACTTAAAAAAATTTTTTTCTTTCTTCTGTGTCCAGCTCTCCTAGCATATGGAATATGGCATCAGACGATCTCTGATGTAGCATAAATCCTGTATTCAGTTACAGTACTTTAGATTTTATATGTCATTATTCCTTGATGTTCTGAACACCAGAACATTCAAGCTCCACTAGCCAGCCCACTGGAGAACCTCGGGCGTACCTGAGAAAGGCCAGTTCCCCTATATCAGAGGTTAATGTGGTCCACAGCCCTGCTGCCGCCAATCTCTTCAGCTTCACTCCATCTACTCTAGTTACACTCCTATTCCTTATGACTCACTTTCTCCAGGTATATCAGGCACTGTCATTTTCAAACTACTTATCTCATTTTTCAACCTATTAGCCCAGCCTTAAAATCCCAGTCCCCCCACACCCCTCAAAAAATCCTAGCTCCTCTGCTCCCTTTTCTGAGAATAAGAAAAGTGCTTATGACATGTTGGCTATGTGACAGGCAAGTCCCTTCCCCTAAGTGTTGCATTGGCCATGCCCTCTTCTAACTCTCTTTACTCCCTCTCCTCCTCCTTTTTCCCACTTCTCCTACTGGCAGAAAGTGGGGGCTGGGTGAAGATCAGAATTAGAAGGGATCTGATCTGGCAAGCATTTATAAAGCATTAGCAGAGTTAGGGGCATAGGTATGAGGAAGTTTATCAGACTAGGAATCTGGGAATCAGATCCTAAATCAGACTTTGCTATGAACATGCTGAGTGACCTTTAGTAAATCTCTTAATTTTTCTGAATCTCAGTGTTTACATCTGTAAAATGGAAGGAAAGATTCCTGCCCTGTCACCTCAAAAGGTTATTAGGAGAATCCAATAAAGCAATGAGTATGAAAGTCCTTTGAAGACCGTAAGGTGGCATTTATAGTCCAAACCCTTCATCTAATTTGAGGATTCTCTCTCCGAATCCCTGCCAAGTGTTGGCAGGTAAACTATTTACTCAGAATTATACCATTACTAATGAACTTATTAAAGTATTTCAGGAATCAACTCTATTAAGCCAATTTTATCCCTTGATAAAATTTGTATGTGGCACAGTTAAACAATTTCTAACTTCTCGAGATTTTTTTTCTATATGGATTGTCATCAAGATCTATTTTTCTCTATCAGTTTTACAAGAAAGGTTAGATTTATTGGTTATCTTTTATCTTTATCGATTTTCACTGATTATTGCTTCAGCTATTTTCAAGTTTCTGGTCATTATTTCCACCAATGCCACCTTTTCCTGGAAGAGAGTTGAGCCATTGTCATTTTTATTTTTGTGGTGATTATTTCTACCAAGTGGAATTTTCCCAGGGGTCAACTTTGCAATGTTTAATGTTACCAACAAAGATGGGATCATTCAGTTTGCTTTTCCATCCATTATAAATTTTTACCACATGTAGTTTTAGCCATTGTCAGTTTTATTTTGTGTTGATTATTTCTACCACATCTATTTTTTCTTCTCTGCAACCCAACCCAAACAAACTCAGGGACGAAATGACAGTGTCAAAACACTATCCTTTGCCTGTTACTATCTGATTAACTGGGACTGTGAGATGGTTTTGTATCAGCTATGTTAATGAGTTTGTTTGAGCTCTCTTTTTCTCTCAGAGCATCTCTGTAAGAGCATTGACACATATGTGTGAGCTGGACTGTTACTTTAAGAATTGCTTTAGGGGGGGCGCCTGGGTGGCTCAGTTGGTTGGGCGACTGCCTTCGGCTCAGGTCATGATCCTGGAGTCCCTGGATCGAGTCCCTCATCGGG